AGAGGGGTGGGTGGATTGCATTTTCCTTGACTGCAGGAAGGCCTTCGACACAGTTCCTCACAAGAGATTAGTGCAGAAGCTGGAGGATCAGGCACGTATAACAGGAAGGGCACTTCAGTGGATCAGAGAATACCTGACAGGGAGGCAACAACGAGTCATGGTAGGTGACGAGGTATCACAGTGGGCGCCCGTGACCAGCGGGGTCAGTTCTAGGACCAGTGTTATTTTTGATAGGAAGGGATATTTTTGATGGAAGGGATAGACTCTAAGTGTCCCTGTTCCCAGATTATGTGAAGTTGATGAGAAGAATTGAATCGGATGAGGATCAGGCAGGACTACAAAGAGACCTGGACAGACTGGACACGTGGTCCAGAAACGGGCTTCTCGAATTCAACCCTGCCAAATGCAAACTCATGAAGACTGGGAAAGGGCAAAGAAGACCGGATACAGAAACATAAGAAAAAAGGAACACTGTAACAGGCCTACTGACCCATGCGAAGCAGGTCCGTGCCACCCCCCTGCCTTGAACAATGACCACCTAGTCAGGTCACTTCCACTTAAGGAAGGAGCACGGCACCAGACCTGGTAGCCCAAGCTTGTTAGGTCCAACTCACAACCACCCACATCCACTCATGTATTTATCCAACCTATTTTTAAAACTACACAAGGTCTTAACTTCTATGACGGTACTCAGGAGTTTGTTCCACTCATCCACAACTCTATTACCAAACCAGTGCTTTCCTATGTCCTTCCTGAATCTGAACTTTTCCAACTTGAATCCACTGCTGCGAGTCCTGTCTTGGCTGGATATTTTCAGCACGCTATTTACATCCCCTTTATTTATTCCTGTTTTCCATGTATACACCTCAATCATATCCCCCCTAATTCTACGCCTTTCTAGAGAGTGCAGATTCAGGGCCCTCAGTCTATCCTCATAGGGAAGATTTCTGATACATGGGATCAATTTTGTCATACTCCTCTATACTTTTTCCAGTGCATTAATATCCATTCTGTAATACGATGACCAGAACTGTGCAGCATAATCTAAATGAGGCCTAACCAAGGATATATAGAGTTGAAGAATAACCTGAGGACTTCTATTATTTATACTTCTTGATATGAAGCCAGGGATTCTGCTAGCTTTATTGCGAACACTTATGCACTGTTGTCTTGGTTTCAAATTACTGCTAACCAGAACTCTTAAATCCTTCTCGCAATCAGTAGTATTAAGATCTACACTATTCAGTTCATAAGTGGCATGGTTACTGCCCTGTCCAACATTTAGCACTTTGGATTTGTCTATATTAAACTGCATCTGCCACTTCTCCGACCACTGCATTAGTCTATTCAAATCATCCTGGAGTGCACTAATGTCCTCAATAGAATGAATTGGACGGCCGATTTTGGTGTCATCAGCAAATTTGCTTATGTCGCTATTTATTTCCTCATCTATATCGTTTATGTAAATTGTGGACAACAAGGGGCCCAACACTGACCCCTGTGGAACACTGCTTGTGACGTGCCCCCATTCTGATTTCTCTCCATTTATGCAAACTCTTTGCTGCCTATTTGTCAACCATGCCTCTAACCAGGAAAAAATTTCTCCTCCTTTTCCGTGAGCCTTAAGTTTCCTCAAAAGTCTCTGATGTGGAACTCTATCGAAAGCCTTACTGAAGTCCATATACACAATATCATAATCATTACCTTGATCTACCTCCTCTTAGCGAAAAAAGTTAGTAAATTCGTAAGACAGGAACGCCCCTTTGTAAAACCGTGTTGAGATTCATTTATCAATTTATACCTATCAAGATGGCTACGAAATGCCTCAGCAATTATTGATTCCATAAATTTTCCCACTATGGAGGTAAGGCTTATTGGTCTATAGTTCGAAGCTAAGGACCTGTCACCTGCCTTGTAAATAGGTATTACATTTGCCATTTTCCACTTATCAGGCACTATGCCAGTTTGTAGTGATATGTTGAAAAGATTAGCCAAAGGTTTGCAAAGTTCCTCTTTACATTCCTTTAAAACCCTTGCAAACAGTTCATCAGGGCATGGGGACATGTTAGGGTTTAATTTCACTATTCGTCTAAGGACCATGTCACTAGTTACTGCAATCGTTGATAAATTAGACACATGTGCAACTCTTGGGAATCTTTATTGAGGAAACGTTTCGCCACACAATGGCTTCATCAGTCCATTCAAAGGGGAATCTTGAAGAATAGGAGGAGAAGGAGGTAATCAGTCCCTCAACCTTGAGTCGATGTGGTCAGTCCATCAATCTTGAATAGAATACGGCATATGTGCGGAGAAGGAGCTTATAAACAGTAGACAGGAGAGGGAATTCTTCGCTTGCCTAACCCTTGGGCGGGCACGACCTACTTCCACATTGGACAAATGTGACACCACCTACAACTGCTGCACCTCTCCTGCCTGCGGTCTATAAGCTACTTCTCCGCACATATGCTGTATTCTATTCAAGATTGATGAACTGACCACATCGACTCAAGGTTGAGGGACTGATTACTTCATTCTCCTCCTGTTCTTCAAGATTCTCCTTTGTATGGACTGATGAAGCCACTGTGTGGCGAAACGTTTCCTCAATAAAGATACCCAAGAGTTGCACATGTGTCTAATTTATCAACGTGTCGGTTCTCTGAACCATTCATCTACAATACTGCAATCGTGCATAGTTTTTTATTGTCCTGTTCTACATAATTTATTATTTCTGGAATTTTGCTAGTATCTTCCTGAGTAAAAACTGAGAGGAAGTAAGAATTGAAAATTTCACACATATCCTTATCACTGTCAGTGATCTGACCTGAGTTACTTCTGTATACCTGAAAAAACCCTTTTGAGTTAGTCTTCGAATCCCTTGCGACCTTAGCCTCATAATCCCTTTTTGTTTTTCTTATTCCTTTTTTTATTTCTCTCTTTAATTGAATATATTGATTTCTTAACTGCCCATCCCCTCTTTTGATATGCCTATATATGCCTCTCTTTTGACCAATGAGATGTTTTAATCTATTGTTCATCCATTTGGGGTCATTTTTGTTAGATCTAATTTCCCTACTCGGAACAAAAGTTGTCTGGGCAGCTAGAACTATGCTCTGAAAAACGTCATATTGGCAACCAAGATCACCTACCTGACCCATAGCCAGATCATCCCAATTTAGCCCACCCATATAATTTTTCAGTCCCATGAAATCAGCCAATCGAAAGTCTGGGACAGAGACTTGATTGCAGTTTACTGGGTAATTCCAAAATATATGGAAACTAAGTGATTTGTGATCACTTTCCCCAAGCTCATCATTAACCTCAAGATTATTAATTAGTGAATTTTTGTTCGCAAGAACCAAGTCAAGCAGATTGTTTCCTCTAGTTGGTTCTGTCACAAACTGTTTTAAAAAGCAATCCTAAACTGTATCAAGAAAGTCACTAGACTCAAGATTTCCTGTCAAATTGTTCCAATCAATTTGTCTAAAGTTAAATTCCCCCATTAACACAACATTTTCATATCTAGACGCCTTATGAATTTCATCCCATAACAGCTTACTGCACTCCTTATCAAGGTTTGGGGGCCTATATATCACACCCAAAATTAATTTTTCACACCCTTCGAGAAAATGTAGCCAAACAGATTCTGTGTCCAATGTTTCTCTTCTTATATCATGTCTAACACAACAATTTAAATTATCTCTGACATACATCGCCACTCCACCACCCTTCCTGTTGACCCTATCAGTGTGGAATAGTTTATAACCCTTTATGCTGCATTCAGAAGGCATTTCTCTATCCTTCATGTTGAACCAGGTCTCTGTTATACCAATAATATCTATCTTACCTGCACTTGCGAGTAATCTTAACTCATCTATCTTATTTCTTAAACTCCTACTATTTGTAGAGTAAACCTTAAGGGAGCTAGTTGCCCTCTACTATCTCCCTCTGTTGATCAATGACTTTGTCTTTATTAGCAACTTTATTTTGAATATTGTCTTTTAAACATATCCGTGAGGTATCCTGTTGTTTGAAACAATAATACTACAGCCTGATTGTTTCCCACAAACACCCATACCTCTATAATCTATCAGTTTAAAGTCCTAGACAAGTCATCAATTACCCCCTCAATCGAACTGCCTAATGCAACCACTCCAACCCCAGAGAGATGAACCCCACAGTATAGGCTAGGTGGACAAAGACTGCAAACACCATAACACTGAGCACGTCTCTGGAGGCACACATCAACCAGATAACTGCTGCAGCATTTGGGCGCCTGGCAAACCTGAGAATAGCATTCCGATACCTTAATAAGGAATCGTTCAATACACTCTACACTGTATACATATAGATGAGTACACACACACGCACACACACACACACACACAGAGGTATGATAAAGCTCACGGTTCAGGGAGAGTGACCTAGTAGCGACCAGTGAAGAGGCGGGGCCAGGAGCTGGGACTCGACCCCTGCAACCACAACTAGGTGAGTACACACACACACATCCACCACGAGCCACATACACACACATGCATGCAAATGAACGTGTATAATCAGAAAGGGAGTGCAGCCTCATACAGGACCAGACAACACAGATGGTACAGACAGGACAGACAGTACAAAGTGAGAGATCTAGTAGTCAGTGATACAGTAATGCTAGTACACCACCAGCATAACTACTACTACTGCTGCTGCTGCTGCTGCTGCTGCTGCTGCTGTTCCTGCTGTCCTGCTGCTGACTTGCTGCTGCTTGCTGCTGCTGGGTACTCCTGCTGCTGCTGCTGCTGCTGCTGCTGTCTGCTGCTACCTGCTGCTGCTGCTGCTGCTGCTGTGCCTGCATGCTGCTCCTGGCTGTGCTCCTGCTGCTGTTCCTGCTGCTGCTGCCTGCTGCTGCTGCTGCTGTGACTGCTCTGCTGCTGGCTCCTGCTGCTGCTGCTGCTACTGCTGCTGCTGCTGCTGCTGCTGCTGCTGCTGCTGCTGCTGCTCCTGCTGCTGCTTGCTGCTGCTGCTGCTGCTGCTGCTGCTGCTGCTGCTGCTGCTGCTGCTGCTGCTGCTGCTGCTGCTGCTGCTGCTGCTGCTGTTGCTGCTGCTGCTGCTGCTGCTGCTCTGCTGCTGCTGCTGCTCCTGCTGCTGCTGCTGCTGCTGCTCCTCTGCTGTGCTGCTCTGCTGCTGCTGCTGCTGCTGCTGCTGCGCTGCTCTGCTGCTGCTTGCTCCTCCTGCTGCTGCTGCTGCTGCTGCTGCTGCTGCTGCTGCTGCTGCTCCTGCTACTGCTGCTGTTGCTGCTGCTCCTGCTGCTGCTGCTGCTGCTCCTGCTGCTGCTGCTCCTGCTGCTGCTGCTCCTGCTGCTGCTGCTGCTGCTCCTCCTGCTGCTGCTGCTCCTCCTGCTGCTGCTGCTGCTGCTGCTGCTGCTGTGCTGTTGCTGCTGCTGCTGCTGCTGCTCCTGCTGCTGCTGCTCCTGCTGCTGCTCCTGCTCCTGCTGCTGCTCCTGCTGCTGCTCCTGCTGCTGTTCCTGCTGCTGCTCCTGCTCCTGCTGCTGCTGCTGCTGCTGCTCCTGCTGCTGCTCCTGCTGCTGCTGCTGCTCCTGCTGCTGCTGCTGCTCCTGCTGCTGCTGCTGCTGCTGCTGCTGCTGCTGCTGCTGCTCCTGCTGCTGCTCCTGCTGCTGCTGCTGCTGTTGCTGCTGCTGCTCCTGCTGCTGTTTCTCCTGCTGCTGCTTCTCCTGCTACTGCTCCTGTTCCTCCTGCTGCTGCTGCTGCTGCTGCTGCTGTTGCTGCTGCTGGAGGAAATAAGTAACCAGGAAACCTAACAAACATTATTTTCCTAGACTCGCACCTTCTAGAGCTGCTGTCATGAACCTTAACAAGGAATCATTTAATACTCTACACACATGTTAGGTCCATAGAATACACAACAAAATATATAAAACTACATCATCACACTCAAATTTATAAGAATTTCTTGGCGTCGAGTGCCAAGTGAAGAGGCACTTAGTGGGTTCCATTACAAACTCGTAGATAAGAAAACACGCACTTTAAAGGGCTAACCTAGAAAGAAATAATAAAGAAGAAAGATGACCAGGTGGACATGGTTAAGTATACACAACATTAGTGGGAAGGTGCTAAGGCAGTCAGACGCCACATAAATACTTAGTTCAGCTACTTGAATATTGGAAAAAATTATAGTTTTAGGGTCGTTAGGAAATGTGAAATATATGAGTTGTAAAGATTTACTTTAATGATGGAAATTATTGAAGCCAGCCGTTATTGGTCAAGAAGCCGGACCCGGACCTGAGACTCGACCCCTTGCAAAAACAACCATATTAATATACACATGCACTTCAGGAAGAAGTTGAACTAAGATGTGAGAGACTGTAATGAAAGATATGGAGAAACTCCAGAGAATGAGGTGGAGGATAAAGCAAAAAGAAAAAAAAACGGACATCTAACTGCGGCAGTTGTGAAACAAGATGTTGGGAATGAGAGGCGTCGCGAGGAGGAGCAGCAACAGGGGAGGAAGGAGGGAGAAGAAGAGAGGAAACGATAGGTAAAGTGAGAAAGGCGAGGAAGGAGAGAAGTGAGGGGAAGAGGGAAAAGGGAAAAGGAGAAAAGAAGAAATGAGGGAGAGGGTGGGAGACATGTGCTGGGAGGTGTTGACAAGATACGAGACGGTAAAGAAAATGACCACGAGACCAAAGAAAGACATGATGACTACAGCCAAGTGTGTGTGTGTGTGTGTGTGTGTGTGTGTGTGTGTGTGTGTGTGTGTGTGTGTGTGTGTGTACTCACCTATTTGTGGTTGCAGGGGTCGAGTCTTAGCTTCTGGCCCCGCCTCCTCTCTCTCCATGCTCCATGAGCTTTATCAAACCTCGTCTTAAAACTATGTATGGCTCCCGCCTCCACTACGTCACTTTCTAGGCTATTCAACTGCCTGACAACTCTGTGACTGAAGAAATACTTCCTAACATCCCTTTGACTCATCTGAGTCTTCAGCTTCCAATTGTGACCTCTTGTTTCTGTGTCCCATCTCTGGAACATTCCGTCTTTGTCCACATCGTCTATTCCGCGCAGTATTTTATATGTCGTTATCATGTCACTTCTCTTCTCCCAGTGTGCTCTCACCTTTCTTCCACTTTTCCTCCCTTAATTCAATTCATCCTCCTTTCCTTCAACCACCCCTCCCCCCCCCCGTGTTTCACCCTTCTCTCTCCTCCCCTTCCTTTTCAGTTCGTCCTTCTCTTACTCTTTCCTTCCCTCCTTCTTTATCTCCCTTCCCTCAGTCCTCCCTTCTCTTCCTTCATCGGCAGTGTTTCTTTCCACTTATGATAATAGACAAGTGCTCCTCCCAGGCTAAGATATTTAAAATTCAAATATCAAGAAACAGAAGAAAGAGACTGAGAGATGCGCCTCAGGGAGGAGTAAGGGGAGCCAGGGAGGGGAGAGGAAGGGGGATGTAAGGGAGGGGGAGGAGGAAGGGGGATGTAAGGGAGGGGGAGGAGGAAGGGGGATGTAAGGGAGGGGGAGGAGGAAGGGGGATGTAAGGGAGGGGGAGGAGGAAGGAGGTGCCAGGGAGGAAGGGGAGAAAGAAGGTGCCAGGGAGGGTGGATGAAGGGTGTGCCAGGAAGGGGGAGAGGGTATGTTAGGGAGGTGCCAGGGAGAGGGAGGAGGAAGTGCCAGGGAGGGTGGAGGAAGGGTATGCCAGAGGGAGGGAATGGAAGTGTGTGTTAGAGGGGTGCCAGGGAGGGTGGAGGAAGGGTATGCCAGAGGGAGGGAATGGAAGTGTGTGTTAGAGGGGTGCCAGGGAGAAGGGAAGGAGGTGCCAGCCTCGGCGAGACCACAACACACAATTACATATTCTTTCAGTTGGACTCTGATGAGCATTCCAGCAGCTTATTATCATTATGAAGAGGGAGGAGAAGAAGAGAGAGGAAGGAGAAGAAAAGGAAGGAGAGGAGAGATAGAAGGAAGATGAGAAGCAACAGGATGGGAAGATGACAGAGAAATGGAGAAGAGAAAGAGGATAAGAATGATTATTATGATCAGAATGATGATTTTGACCCTCCTCAGGAGGGCAGGGAGGAAAAAGCAGCAAATGGAAAATAAGGGAAATGGAGAGGAGGAGACAGAGGAGGAGGAAGAAGAGAAGCAGGTGTGCTGGGCGAGGCAGGTGTATTATTATCCACGAATAAGCAAACACAATACTGACAACAATAACATTGCCTCGAATTCAGCACACAGAATCAGACCTAACATAAAATGACATTCTCGCGCTTATAGTCCCTACTGATACGTTCCTGAGCCCCGGTTCCACTTGTCTGCCATTACGACCAGCAGTGAGCTAGACACTGTACGGAGGAGCGAGCCTCCAATACTCCCGGTGTTTTATGCTAGTATAGAGCACCGGATGTGTGTGTGTGTGTGTGTGTGTGTGTGTGTGTCTGTGTGTGTGTGTGTGTGCGTGTGTGTGTGTGTGTGTGTGTGTGTGTGTGTGTGTGTGTGTGTGTGTGTGTGTGTGTGTGTGTGTGTGTACTCACCTAGTTGAGGTTGCAGGGGTCAAGCCCAAGCTCCTGGCCCCGCCTCTTCACTGGTCGCTACTTGGTCACTCTCCCTGAACCGTGAGCTTTATCATACCTCTGCTTAAAGCTATGTATGGATGCTGCCTCCGTGTGTGTGTGTGTGTGTGTGTGTGCACCTTGTCACATTTGTGCACACCTTGTCAGTCATGTGTCATACCTTGTCATTTATGTGTCACATCTTTTTAATTATGTGTCACATCTTGGCAATTATGTGTCACATATTGTCATCTGCGTCTTACCTTGTGAGTAATGTGTCACTCATGCGTCACACATCGTCACTCACGTGTCACGCCTTGTCAATAATATGTCACTCAAAGTGTCTTACTTCTCTTCGTCACTTCCAGTCTTCATGTTTATTTAAAAGCTTCAAGTTGCCCGCAGCTGCTGCTGCTGTTACTGCTACTGTTACTGCTGTTGTTACTTTTGCTGTTAATACTGCTAATTGTGTTGTTGTTTCTGTTGCTGCTACTTTCACTTCTCTTGGTGCTGATAATGCTGCTGTTACTGCTACTGTCGGAACTGCTTCTGCTCGTGCTATTAATGCTGCTGTTACTGCTACTGTCGGAACTACTTCTGCTCGTGCTATTAATGCTGCTGTTACTGCTACTGTCGGAACTGCTTCTGCTCGTGCTATTAATGCTGCTGTTACTGCTACTGTCGGAACTGCTTCTGCTCGTCCTATTAATGCTACTGTTACTGCTACTGTCGGAACTGCTTCTGCTCGTGCTATTAATGCTGCTGTTACTGCTACTGTCGGAACTGCTTCTGCTCGTGCTATTAATGCTGCTGTTACTGCTACTCTCGGAACTGCTTCTGCTCGTGCTATTAATGCTGCTGTTACTACTACTGTCGGAACTGCTTCTGCTCGTGCTATTAATGCTGCTGTTACTGCTACTGTCGGAACTGCTTCTGCTCGTGCTATTAATGCTGCTGTTACTGCTACTGTCGGAACTGCTTCTGCTCGTGCTATTAATGCTGCTGTTACTGCTACTGTCGGAACTGCTTCTGCTCGTGCTATTAATGCTGCTGTTACTGCTACTGTCGGAACTGCTTCTGCTCGTGCTATTAATGCTGCTGTTACTGCTACTGTCGGAACTGCTTCTGCTCGTGCTATTAATGCTGCTGTTACTGCTACTGTCGGAACTGCTTTTGTTCGTGCTATTAATGTTGCTGTTACTGCTACTGTCGGAACTGCTTCTGCTCGTGCTATTAATGCTGCTGTTACTGCTACTGTCGGAACTGCTTCTGCTCGTGCTATTAATGCTGCTGTTACTGCTACTGTCGGAACTGCTTCTGCTCGTGCTATTAATGCTGCTGTTACTGCTACTGTCGGAACTGCTTCTGCTCGTGCTATTAATGCTGCTGTTACTGCTACTGTCGGAACTGCTTCTGCTCGTGCTATTAATGCTGCTGTTACTGCTACTGTCGGAACTGCTTCTGCTCGTGCTATTAATGCTGCTGTTACTGCTACTGTCGGAACTGCTTCTGCTCGTGCTATTAATGCTGCTGTTACTGCTACTGTCGGAACTGCTTCTGCTCGTGCTATTAATGCTGCTGTTACTGCTACTGTCGGAACTGCTTCTGCTCGTGCTATTAATGCTGCTGTTACTGCTACTGTCGGAACTGCTTCTGCTCGTGCTATTAATGCTGCTGTTACTGCTACTGCTGTAATTTCTACTTCTAGTACTACCAGTGTTGCTGCTTCAGCCTACTCTAGTGCTGCTTCAACCTACTCTAGTGCTGCTTCAACCTACTCAAGTGCTGCTTCAGCCTACTCTAGTGCTGCTTCAGCCTACTCTTGTGCTGCTTCAACCTACTCTAGTGCTGCTTCAGCCTACTCTAGTGCTGCTTCAGCCTACTCTAATTCTGCTTCAGCTTACTCTAGTGCTGCTTCAGCCTACTCTAGTTCTGCTTCAGCTTACTCAAGTGCTGCTTCAGCCTACTCTAGTTCTGCTTCAGCTTACTCTAGTGCTGCTTCAGCCTACTCTAGTTCTGCTTCAGCTTACTCAAGTGCTGCTTCAGCCTACTTTAGTACTGCTTCAGCCTACTCTTGTGCTGCTTCAACCTACTCTAGTGCTGCTTCAGCCTACTCT